TCTGAGATGGGGCTCTGGGGGTGAAAGAAAGTAAGGGGGGGCAGGTGTGTGTGTGTGTGTGTGTGTGTGTGCTCCCTTCATACAACCACCATGGCCCTTGCTAGATCTTGGACTTTCTCTTTCACATAATTTTAGGAGCTGAGGCCAGTTTTACATGATTCACTAGCTGGCAGGTGGGGGCAACACAAGCTGCCAGGTTGGGTGGCCCTGTGCATGCTCAGGTGGACTTGGGGGTGATGGGAGAGAAGTGGGTGCAGGGAAGGCATGAAGACTAGGTGAAGCCAGCTGACCAGCAGGGCACCTCTGAGCGGAGCTAACAGGCAGGGAAACTCCAGGACTAGTTAAATGGAGGAGTGGCAAGATGAATCTGGAGGCCAGTTTCACTGACCAGGTGTCCCAGGTGAAGTGACTGCACAGGAATTGAGGTGAAGAGGGAAGATCCTTGGACCCGACTAACATCCTGGGTGGAATGATCCAAGCCATCCTGGAAAATACTTCAAAACCTACCCCTGTTTACTCAATGCCTCCTTCCTCTCTATTATCAAGAGTTGAGTGAGGCCCCAGGAAAAAAAACCCAATTATATGTGGAAGGGAGTAACTATGCACCTTATCATCTACTAATCTCAAAGTTTAGCTCATCGAGTATTTTTCCAGTGGCAATACCCCAGAGCTTTTCTAGACAGAATCACTCAGTGGCAGATAGTATTTTCCAAAGATGGCCACAATAATTGCTTTCATCCAACAAGCTCTTCTTTAAAAGTAACCTTGACCATCTTCCTTTTGAGTTGTGGGTCTTTTCCCTCTCTCCTTGAACTTGGGTGGATCCTCTGCACTTGCATTTGAAAATTAGTGTGCCAGATGCCAGGATGCTTCAGCTCCCTTCCCCTTCAAAATTTTTCTTCTTCTTAGCTTTTCCTAGCTCTTTCCTCTCTCAATCTCAGGTAGAGACACTTACCTCAAACTGAGCTGCTTTTCTTGAAGTTGTGCAAAAACTTTGGCTGGGACAAATTTAATATCTTTTTTTTTCTGGTCACTGGAGGCAAGAATCTCAAGTCCCACCCCCAGATCCTATAGGAGTCATGATAGTTAACAGAGAGGGTGAAGTTATCTACTAAAAAGTTGCTATCTACCAAAAGGTGTTACCTGTAAAATGGCACCCATCCCAGCCATGAGATATAAACCACCCTTCGATGGTCTATAACTGTAAATTACCTTTGAGGGTCATGCACTCAAATGACCTGAAAGCCTTTCAGGCCAGAAAGAGAAACCCTTGTCCTTCACCTCCCACCTTCACCTATCTCTAGACCTTTTCTTATGACAATGCCTTGGTCATCAGGATCCCAACCTGCAGGAGCTTGGGCTAGGGCTGGGACTGGGACTGGAAGTAGGTGATTCAGAGAGTCACAGTTAGTTCAGAGGTCTAATGTCTCTTAAAGCCTGGGACCCAGGCTGGAGGCAATCTGTTGCTGCAGGTCAGTCTGTCAGGGCTATCATAACAAAATACCACTGACTGGGTGACTTAAACAGCAGACATTTATTTTCTCACAGAAAGTCCAAGATCACTCTATCAGTTGGGTTGGTGTCTACTGAGGCCTCACTCTTTGGCTTCAATCTCTCTGTGTCTTCCCATGGCTGTTTCTCTCTGTGTGTGCTTTTCTGGTGTTGCTCCTCTTCTTATAAGGACCCCAGGCATATTACTAGTAAATTAGGGCCCTATTCCAATGACTTCATTTAACCTTAACTATATCTTTAAAGGCCCTATCTCCAAATAGTCATATTTTGAGAAATTGGGCTTAGGACTTCAACAAATGCAATGGTGGGAAGTGAATGACCTGCACAGTCACTGTCCCTGTGGGTCCTGGAGAATGTCCGGTGTCCTTTAGGGAATGTCTTCTTAGGCCCATCTTGCCCAGACCAAAGCCAGGGCATGCAATACGGCCAGAGGGAAGGGAGAGAGTGTGGAAGGTTGTGCCAATGTTTCCTGTCCTCCCAATGTGACGGCTGCCCCGGCTGCCCCTGGAGAGTGCAACGGCGTCTCACAGGAGCTACGAGGATCACGGTAGTTTCCAGGCATCAACTAGGTCCTGGACCGTCATGTGCCTGGGCAGTGGGTTTCCTCATGATCCCACATCAGTTTATCTCCTCCCTCAGGGCAGATCCTACACAAGTGGGTTCTCTGTCTGTAGAGTGACTTCATCAGCACAGACTTCCTTCTTCTTTCTCCCTGCAAGGAGATAAGATAGAAGGTTACCCCTCCAATGTTTAGAATCTTAGTAACCTTGACTCAGCCCAAGGTCACCTCAGGCAAAAAAAACAAAACATACCCACAACCCTCTCTCCCCACCCCCACTCCCATTTTATTAAAACCATGGAAAAGGAGATGCTTCAAAGACAAGTAGTTCTTCCTACTGTCTAGCCTCCCGCAGCAGCTATGCCATGCAGTTAGCTATAAAGCGTATAGAAAGTTAGAGCTGGGATGGACCCAGTTAAATGGCCAGAAGCCACATGGCAGAGCCGGAGCCAGCTCTGGACTCCCTGAGGAGCCTTTCTGTCCTTCTTGGTGGCCAAAGCCACTCTTTTCTGAGCCGTGACAATGTTAAGCTGAGTGAGAGGAGTTTGATTAGGGAGGGATGGCCAAGGGGTTTTGGGGTTCTTTTGGGGAAATGAAAATGTTCTAAAATTGATTGTGGTGATGGAGACACAACTCTGTGAATACAATAAAAGCCACTGAATTGTATGCACTTTATTTTTTTTAAAATAGATTTCTTTATTGATTTCAGAGAGGAAGGGAGAAGGAGAGAGAGATAGAAACATCAATGATGAGAGAGAATCATTGATTGGCTGCCTCCTGCACACCCCCTACTGGAGATAGAACCTGCAACCCAGGCATGTGCCCTTGGCCAGAATCGAACCCGGGACCCATCAGTCCACAGGCCAATGTTCCATCCACTGAGCCAAGCCGGCCAGGGCTATATGCAGTTTAAATGGGTGCATTGTATGGCATGTGAATTATATTTCAATAAAGCTGTTAAAACAAAAAGCTGCTCTTTCCCGGCTTCTACATAAATCCCGGGGACCGCCTGGGACAGACAGGGCCCCTGGATGGAGTGTGACCTCAGCTGCTTTCCCCTCGTCCCCAGGGAATGAACATACAAGAGCCAGCCCTCTCTCCAGTTCTATGCTGAGCGACTCATGCCTCATGCCTCCTTCTCCTTGCTGACTGCTCTCTCCACCCTGGGCCGGCAAGCCACACAGCCTGCGATGCACAAAACCAGGAAGCCCAGGCCACTGGAGGTGCTTCTTCCAGGGGCGGGGCTTTCGGGGCAAAGGCAGGGCGGATGGGTGTAGAGCTCGGAACCTGGCTGACCACTGAGTCTCCCCTTTCTTCTCCTTGACAAAGAGGCACTATCAGCTCCAGACAGAGAGCATTTTGCTCAAGAATATTTTCTAGGCAACAAGGGGTTGGGATTCGACTAAACTTTTACTCAACAAACTTTATTGATACAGAAACTATTGCTAGATGCCCAGCGGTGACCCAGCATTTGCCTTTAAAGGGCTGAGAATTTAGTGGGAGAGTAAGTGCTATCAGTGCTGTGAGTCGGGTAAGCGATGGGCGTTAAAGGCAGAACATTAGCCAGCCAGTGTGGCTCAATGTTGAGCATCGACCTATGAACCAGAAGGTCACAGTTCAATTCCCACTCAGGGCACGTGCCCAGGTTGCGGGATTGTTCCCTGTTGTGGGGCGTGCAGGGGCAGCCAATCAATGATTCTCTCTCATCATTGATGCTTCTATCTCTTTCTCCTCCCCCTCTTTGACAGAGATAAAAATATAGATCTTATAGAAGATAACCAATGAAGGAGTTGAGTGGGAAATCATGGAAAGTGTGCTCCAGACAGGGAAATGGAATGTGCAAAGGCCTGAAGATGTATGTAAGAGAATAGCTCACTTGAAGAGCTACAAACGGAACTTCAATTCTGATTGGAGGCCAGAATGCAAGATGGAGAGGGCCAAGAGATGAGGTGGGAGAGGTATAGAGGGCAGACAATCTGAAGACAAATAGGAAGAGGTCCAAATCTACCCATCTTTCCAGTAGATTTAGCTCCCCACCCACGTCCAGCACGTGCAGAACTCATACCTGAGCAGGGGCCCCAGTACCAGGCAGAGAGACCGGCCAGGACCAGAAGCAGCAAGACGGGCACCACCACCAGCAGCACATCCTTGTAGGAGGCCTTCCCTGGGGCAGGACATGGAGGGGGCAGGGTCAGAAGTGGACTTGATGCTTCACTACCCTACATTGACCCTTGACCCGTGGCATACCTGCCTCATGATGGCAGCTCTCCCAGGGGGTGACTATAGTCGAATTCCAGCTGACGGGGTTGGCGACAATGCAGGAAAAGGCCATGCCCTTGTCTTCTGGTCCCAGCGAAACCCTCAACACCTGTCCATCTGTGAAGAGGCCGTGTGGCTTGATACCAAAGTCCATGGTCCCCTCCTGTCGCCAGCTATAGGTTATGTCACTGATATTGGGGACCCAACAGGACAGGAAAGCCTGGCAGGTCTTGGGAGGCTGAGATACAGCAATGAACACTTGTACCGTAGGCCTGGGTACTGCATCTGGGCAAAAATAGTAGAGGAGGTCTGGGTTACTGGGGTGCTGGGCAGGGCCCTCGTCCTGGCTCTGGGATCCATGCCGGGGTAGGTAATGCCCCTGACTAGTCCACTCTTGTTCCAAAACCTTGTCTGGCTTCCTGTTGATCGCAGGACCAAAGCTGAATTCCTAAGTGTGGGATTCCAAATCCTCCATAAAATGGTTGATGTCCGTCTCTCCAGCTATCCCTCCTGCTGGTCCTCCCTAATTTCCAGGTCTCTCAAACATGTCATGCTCTCCCATGCTCCCATATGTCTCAGCAGTGCACACATACCTTTATCTTCTCGGCCCCCTGGAAAACAGTGGGCCCCTTGGACACACTGCCTGCTGCCCTGACTGCAAAGCCTTCCCTGCTACTCCAGGTGTGGTGCTGAGCTTTCCAAGCCTCTGTCTGTCTCTTGTCATAGCACTTCCCCCATGACATATCAACCGGAGAGATCGTGAGCATTTATCACATCAGGCAAAAACAAAACAACAACCAAAACAACCGCAGCAGCAGCAGCAGCAGCCCATCATACACATGCCTGGACTTTTGGAGATTAGAGTTTGGTGAGGCAGACAAATGCTGACAAGAAATGATTAAGAAAATAATTACAATGGTGCAAATAGGGCTATGAAGGGGCTCTGTCTTGTTATCTTCATAACCCTCACTCTCTAGGTGCTCAGCTGCCTGGGCCATTCAACAGACTGGTGTCCTGCTCCCCTTTCCTACGCAGGTTGATGAGTCAGTCCCAGGTCTCCCTGGCAAGGGGGGTGGGGGGTGGGGTGGGGCAGCGGGAGAGCCTGCTGGTGACAATGAGGGCTCAGTGTCTGACAGCATTGCAAAGCCAAGCAGAGTAAAACCTGATGGATGCCAGCTCAGTGTGTTGGGATTTGGAATATGAAAACAGAAAAAAGAAACGCTGGGCACACTGATAGTATAAACAAAGTTTACAGGGGAGATAGTTATACTCCTCAGGAGGACAAGCTGCTTCCAAACACGATGAGCACATTGACATGTCTGGTAACTGATCTGCTAATTCAAATCCTTCTTTATCTATTGTCAGAGTGGAGCGCCCAAGGACGGCTGTTTGGCAGTTTTGTGCAATTAGTTCTAATCAAGCTATGCATTTGGAAGCAATAAAACAGCAATTTCCTCACAATTTGTAATTCGGATGCTGAGAACAGGGCCTTCTGGAGCCTCACGGCGTGGGTGCTGCATGTGTTCTCACACTCAGTGTCCTCATTTCCCATGGGCGGCAGCTGAGACTCAACAAGGGAGAAGCCCCAGGGCTGCCTGTACGGTTGTGTAGGTTACTCACTGCACGAGGGCCTTGGCCAGGGGGGAACAGGGGAAGGTGGGGGTGCTGAAACCCAGCCAGCACGCTGTTTGCCAAACTGTACTCCAGGTTCAGGGCCGCATGCATCCAGAGGGACACCCGTCTAAGTGCTTATCAGCACCCTGAGTGGCAGCCAGTTAGCTGTCTCAGGGAGGGGGCGGGGTGTTTCTCTCCTCCCAATTTGCTATTGCCTTTCTCTCCCTCATTATTTCCCTCTTCCTAGCTGTCACCCCTACTCTCCATTCCTGAATTTGAACCTTGTCCTCCCCTCTTCACTACCACATTTCCAAGGTTTTACTAAAATTGTGCTTTGGGGTCATTCACATATCATTTTCAAGCTGCTAGGTATCTAAATGAGAGCTGGAAGGCCGTTGTTTTTTCTTGACCAGAAGAAATATAGTGAAGGTGGTAGAGGTGGAGGTGATGGCGGAGGTGTGGAGGTAGAGGTAGAAATAGTAATAGTGGTAGAAGTAATGGTGGAGGTAGAGGTGGTAGTGGTGGTGGCTGTGAAGGTGATGGGGGTAATGGAGATAGAGGTGGAGATGATAGTGGAGTGGTGAAGTTGGAGATAGAGATAGTTATAGTGATAGAAATGATGGTGGAGGTGAAGGTGGTGGTAGTGGTAGGGTGATGAAGGAGGAAGGTAGAGATAGTGATGGTGGAGGTACATGTGGAGGTAGTGATAGTGGTAGAAGTGATGGTGGAGGTGGAGATGGTAGTATTGGTGGAGATAGTGGGGGTGGAGATGGAGGTAGTGATAGGGTGTTATGATGGAAGTGGAGGTAGAGATAGAGATAGTGATAGTGGTAGAAGTGATGGTGGAGGTGGAGATGGTAGTGGGGGTGGAGATGGAGGTGGTGATAGGGTGATGAAGGAGGAAGTGGTGAAGGTGGAGGTAGTGATAGTGGAAGTGGAGGTAGAGATAGAGATAGTGATAGTGGTAGAAGTGATGGTGGAGGTGGAGGCAGAGATAGTGGTAGTGGTAGAAGGGATGGTGGAGGTGGGGATGGTAGTGGGGGGGGAGAGGGAGGTGGTGATAGGGAGATGAAGGAGGAAGGCAGTGAAGGGAGAGGTGGTGCTGGTGGGGGTGGGGGTAGTGGTAGAAGTGATGGTGGAGGTGGAGGTAGTGATAGGGTGATGAAGGAGGAAGTGGTGAAGGTGGAGGTAGTGATGGTGGAGGTGGAGGCAGAGATAGTGGTAGTGGTAGAAGTGATGGTGGAGGTGGAGATGGTAGTGGTGGTGGAGGTAGTGGGGGTGGAGATGGAGGTGGTGATAGGGTGAGCGTCGGCCTGTGCAGTGAAGGTAGAGGTGGTGCTGGTGGAGGTAGTGTTAGTGGTAGAAGTGATGGTGGAGGTAGAGGCGGTGATAGTGGTAGGTGAGGATGGTAGGAAGGTGGTGATGGTGGAGGTGATGATGGAGGAAGAAGATGTGGAGGTAGTGTTAGTGGTAGAGGTTATGGTAGAGGTGGTTGTGATGGAGGTGGAGGTGAAGTTGCTGGGAAGAAAGCCCCTTTCTGTCCCCAGTGAATTCAGACACCTGAGCTGAGGTGCTGAACGAGGCTGCACAAATGACCCTGCAAATTCACTTGGAGCAGAGGTCTGCCTGCTGAGCCAGGCTAACCTACAGAATTGTGAGAAATAAAATAGCTGTCTTTAGCCAATAATGTTGGGGATGGTATGTTTTGCAACAATAAATGACTGAAAGAACCCATGCACATTATATATAGTTAAGATCTCTAAATATATCTGAAATAACTCTTTTAAAAATATAAAATAAAAATTCTGTACTTCTAACGACAGTTGAATTATAAACTTTAATAAAAATATAGTGCCATAGTTTGATTGGCAATATTTCCCCTTTTTAGCGGCACATGAAACAATGGCATGTCTTAATCTGATACCTTTGGACGGGCGAGGCACAGGTCAACTTCCGTCCCAGATGCTTTTCCCAGCCCCACTGTACTTCACTGTCATGAGCATCTATGTGGCAACATCACGATGCCCGCTCTACTAATGAGACGGCGAATGTCGGAGCTGAGCCTCGTGTCCAAGACCACTGAGTCTGGAAAATGCCACGCTGGGCTCAGACTGGGACTATAGAGCTGGGCTGCTCCCGATCAAGCTCCCCTGGGGGATCCTGAGGAGCGGTCTCAGATGCGGCTGCAGGAGACTCTCTGAATCAGCCACAAAGTCAGAGGCCCAAGGTTTCTGGAACCCAGTTCTCCAGCTCCCAGGACTCAAGATGCCCTTCTAGGATTTTATGAGGGAAGGTGGGCAGAGAGCCAGTGCCAGGCACACTCACCATACACCTTGAGCTGTAGGGTCTGGGTCCAGGCCCGGCCTTCGATGTCCACGAGCAACACGGAGAAGTTGCCGCTGTCCCCAGGCTCCAGCGGCCCGAGCTCCAGGCTCAGGTTGTGGTGCAGCCGGGTGCGGCCCAGGAAGCGGGAGTGGTACAGGGTCTCCAGGGAGCCCCGGAAAGACGTGGCCAGGAGCTCCTCCGAGGGCCAGAGAGACAGCCAGATGGCCTCTCGGACTTGGAAGCCAGGGTGGCACTCTGCCGCCAGCAGCACCGAGCCCCCGACCTGGCCCTGCACGTGGGCACCAGTAGCCGCGACAGGAAGCGGTGCTGCAAGAACAGAGCCACGTCACTCCGCCTGCCCGAGGCTCCTCAATCTCTCCTGCAAGCAGCACGGAGCAAATTGGGGCTCCTCTCCCCCCACTCCCTTCACCCACGTTGAGAATGCACTGTCCCCGGGGCTGGGAACAAAATTAAAAAGAATTCATACCTGTGCTCATGGAGCTCAGAGAAGAAGCCAAGCAATTAACATATAGTAAAATATAGCGATTAAAATATAGCAAGCCAAGTGCCATCATGGAAAAAGGGGGGGACCGTGGAAGAACACGGGTAGCGTGAGAGTGTAACCTCACCTGGTCTGGAGGGTTCAGGTAAACTGAGGCCAAAGGAGAAGCGGAATTTGCCAGGCCAAGCAGAGGGCTGGCTGGCGCGGGGATGGGAAGCGTTACAGGCCAAGGGGACAGTGTGTCCAAAGGCCTGGGGGAGAGAGCATGTGCACAGGGAACTGAAAGTAGGTCTCTGCCGGGGGAGTGAGAATGGTGCTGCAGAGCTGCGACGTAGAAATGCAGTGACTTTACAGAGAGAACCAGATTGTGCAGGGCCCTGAGAGTGACACTGGCACCTGGACTTTATCCTCCGAGCAATGAGGGCCCTGGAAGAGGTTTTGGGTAAGAGAGGGACAGGATTAGAGGCCTGTGAGAGAGATCACTCCTGGAGCGGGCCAGAGTAGGCCTGTAGGTGGGGCAAACCCGAGGCTGCTTCTATTAACCCAGGGGTGGGGACCATCTGGTCCTCAGGCCGTATAAGTCCCGCAAAATCATTGGGTCTGGCCCTGCCAAGGCATGAGGGCTGAGTTCACTAAATATCTGACCCAATATAGCCGGCTGATGTTTACGTTGATTATTTCATATGGCCCTCGGATGATGCTATAAAGATCCAAATGGCCCTCAACAGAAAAAGGTTCCCCACCCCTGTTTAATCCAAAGGTGAGTGATGGAAGTTTGTATTGAGGGGGAGCAACAGAGGAGTGTAGAAGTGGCAGGAACTGAGCGAGATAAGAAGTGTAATCAGCCAAAACCGGTTTGGCTCAGTGGATAGAGCGTCGGCCTGTGGACTGAAAGGTCCTAGGTTTGATTCCGGTCAAGGGCATGTACCTGGGTTGCGGGCACATCCCCAGTAGGAGATGTGCAGGACGCGGCTCATCGATGTTTCTCTCTCATCGATGTTTCTAACTATCTCTCTCCCTTCCTCTCTGTAAAAAATCAATTTAAAATATATTTTTTAAAAAAGAAGTGTAATCAGTGGATCTGGTAGTAGATTGGGTCTGAGAAGCGAAGGAGCAAGGAGTTGGGCATGGCTCCCAGGTCCTTGGAACCCATAAGATGCCAGTTCTCTGTGACCCAGGACAGGAGGAGAAGCAGAAGGGGGAGAGGCGGCAGGGGGCTGAGTGTTGCTGGGAACGTGTGGAGTTTGAGGCCTGTGGGTGATGCCTCTGCTTCAAGTGCGCCCTGCCCCCTTCACAGGCTAATGTCTGCTCATCCTTGAAGCATCAGGGTTCCCTAATCTCCCCTGTCCATCCCTGCAGGTTACACACTCATTCTCCATGTTCCCTCAGCAGCCTGGGATCCTTGCTACGAATTGGCCTTGTTTCTGTTGTTATCGCGTGGTTATGAGTCAGTGTCTCCCGCTGGCCTGTGAGTTCCTCTCTCCATCTTTGCACTCCCAGTTCCCACTCTGTTCAGGAGGAGGATGTAGAAACTCAGCAAGTTTTACAGAACGAATGGCAGGATTTGCTGATTTACCTAGTGCCTGACACAGTGGTGGCTGCAGGGGTGCAGGGCAGAAGGAGAGGAGATGCGGGACAGACCCAGGTGCTGGGAGTTGGTTAAGGAGATGTGCTCTGAATGGTCACTCAGCCAGCCACTGGAAACTCTAGCCCCTCATACGCCTCCCTGCACTCCCTGGCGCCACCCATCTCCGGCTTGATTGGCGATGACTTCAGGGGAATGCAGAGTGGAGACAGGACGTAGAGGAGAAATAGCACTGGATGGCAGCCAGGACTCCTGGGTCCTAGCCTGCCCCGCTCTGCCCAGACTGAGCCATGTGACCTTCAGCAATCAGGCTCCTTTCTGGGCTCCCACTGTCCCCTCCATAACGCAAGGGGTGCACCCATCAGTTGCACTCACTTCGTTTACCACCAAGAGGCTTTTGGCCAAATTATTTTTGGCTCCCAAGGCCAAGGATTTGAAAGATGTTTGAACCAAACAGATGTTTTTTTGTGAGGCATTTCCTTCACATGTCTAGAAATGTTGAAATCTGCAGAGATTGGAGCCCTCAATCTTGGAGACTCTGGAGGGACACTGGACAGAGTCATCTCCAAGTCACTGTGAGTCTGAGGTGGACAAAGGTGTCTTTGTCTTGGCTACACCCCCGGACTCCCATACCCTGGCCTTGGGGTGCTGAGCCGCGTCATACTGAGCACTTCTCACCCAAGGGAGGGAAGTCAGGCACCAGACAGACTGCAGGGATTGCCTGGGGTGAAGAGACCCACCAGGCAGGCATCCCATCACCAGATTCTCCGCCCCCCATGCCCACATGTGCTGCATTAACTTGCTCTCGCCTCTCATCCCTACTCAGTACCCCTTACACAGACCTCCTGACGGGCCCTGGCTTCCCACAGGCTGTTGGAAATACATCCTCAGATTGAAAGATCCCTGCTCTGCCCTGCTCGCCCCTGTGCTCCTCAGACACACAGTATTTAGGATCCTCACGTGTTAGCACTGCCAGACCCTCACCATTCTCACAGCCAGCTCTTTCCAAACCACTGGTGCCACCAGCCTCAGACTTACCAGCCCTGGGCCACAATACAGCTCAAGTCTCCTGGACATGGGTTCTCCCAGGGCTGCTGCCTCCTTCCGCCCGGGACCCTGCATCTCTTTGCCTGGCCTAGTTTTAAAGCTTGCCCCAAAGCTTGCATCAGTATTGCTGACCCCCTCCCAGTGCCTGGTTGTTACTTGGGATTGGGGAACCCTGCGCAGACATCTGGCGAGGGGCGGCCGGCCGGAGGGGGCAGCTCTTTGAGGAGCTGCCCCACTCACCTGCCCCACTTACCTGCCCAGAGAAGGGGCATCCACAAGGACCACACAGCCACCCTTCTCCGGAGAGCCAGGAGCGCTCTCCTAACCGCCAGCATCCAGGACATCCTCTGCCTGCGGCGAAGGCTTGAATGGGGACAGGCCGCGTGGCTGCATGGAAGGAGTTGTGACCCTTCTGGAAAGTCCCATGTGCAGAAGGAGGAATCTCCACTCAAAACAAGAGGCCCCGGAACTGAGAACATCCAGAGGAAAGTGGAAGTTGGCTGCAGGCCTGGCTGGGCTCTTCCAGGAGCCGATTCTTGTAAGTCAGTCTTTTTCCCGGGCCTTTGGCTGGATATGCCGTCGCAGGCCACAAGGCCCCCACACAAGCCCACATCCTGTCCTCCCACTCTCTGGGGGCGCCTAAGTGGGCAACAGGGGAAGCGAAGGACCCGGGGAGGAATCCCTTAGGGCTGAAGTGGGTAAGAATGAGGAGAGGGTTGGGGCCAGATTCCAGGGGCCTGTAACACTGGGGCTAGTGTCAGATTTTTGTTCTGGAGACCAGGCTTTCACCCTGTGGCATACGAGGCTTCTGAGGGAGTCTGGGGTAGCAGGGCAGCGAGGGGCTCTCCACTCCAAGTAGTTCTGGAGCTGGTGGTCACGGGGAGGCTCTGAGCAGCTCCTCGTGGAGGGAGGGGCTGGGGAGGACGCCATCAGGGCTGCTTGGGGAGAGAGGCGGCAGGGAAGCCGTGGCGGCAGTGGTTGTGATGGTTCTGACCGAAGCAGGAGGGATCTCCAGAGAGAGGGCAGAGCTGGGGTCCTGACAGAGCTGCCCGGCTCTGGGCAGAGGCCAAAGGAAAGCAGTCACGATGAGCCATTGCCAAGTCCATCACTCAGGCAGCAGGGATTGGCTGAGCATCTTCTCTGAGCCAGGGGCTGGGGACATACAGGTGAGAGGCACAGCTCCTGCCCTCCAGGCGTCAGCAGTTGTGATGAGAAGACAGGCTACTTAACCCATCATCACCACCATCGGAGGACGGGGTCAGGGAGAACTAGGAAATATCCCCCTCCCCACAGGGAAACCTCAGGGTGAAACTGACGGGGAGGAGGGGGCGGCCGGGGGGAACTGGAAAACATCCCACCTTCGGAGAAAATGGACCAGGAAGGAGCAGGAAGGGTTAAGCCTGCGGTGGCAGGTTCCCCCACTGCCAGGCACTGGTCAGACCACAGCATTTACCCCGCCCTGGAGTCGATTGGCTGGTGAGTTCAAGGCCTCCTGCATTCCTTAGAGAGCAGCTGCCAGTGGGCTGCCCCCAGCCTTCTAGGCCCTTCTGGAAGCCGGGACAGGCACAGTAGTGCCATCAGCCCATCTCTGCTCAGGGCTGGAGGCTGGGGGCGGGGAGCAGGTGGTGGCTCTGGCCAAGCAGCTGCCTGAGCTCACATGAACCTGGAGAGCTGCTGGGGGCAGAGACTCGGGGCCGGGGCACTGGGGTGGGTGTGCAAGATGCGCCATGCCCATGTCTGCCCCGTCTAGCTCCCTGGACTGGCCTGATGGCTGTTTCCTCCCAGGGGGAGAGGTGAGGAAGGGACAAAAGTGGGGGGGTGTTAGAGGAGAGGAGAGAGTGGGGCAGGGAAGGAGGCAGAGGCAGAGCCCAGATAGAAGGGAGGAGCACGCAGCAGGCTTTTAGGAGCCGGGGGTGAGGAGGAGGGCAGCGTGGGGGAGCCTCTGGAGGAACTTCAAGGCTGTGCTCAGGATGGGGGCTGAGAGCGCAGGAGGAACCCCACCTACGCCCCATCTTCCTGTCTGCCTTCAGCTGTGTGGTTTCCCGTTTCCATAGAATGGAGAAGCTGCTGGCACGGGCTGCCGGCCGACAGCAAGCCACCAGGGCCTGGCCAGCCCCAAAGCTGCTGCCCGGGGCGGGGAGCCCAAGCCCTCCCACCCTCTTGCCAGCCAGGGCAGGCAGCCGTGCTGGGAGGATGCAGGAAGGCTGGGTTTGAGGCAGGGTCTGGATGTGTGGATTGGATGCACCTCAAATATCCTGAGATTGTCAGCGTAGGTAACTAGATATTAATAAAGGCAGAGAGCAAAGGGAACCAGACATTATTAAGCATAATAAACTGGGAAGCAGAATCCAATATTCGGAGTGCTTCACTAAGAATTACAGCTCCCTCCACCTCCCCCCGGGCATCCTCCACCCTCCAGAGGAATGAAAACAACAGAAGAAATTACTCTGCTGGGCGCATGTGCAGCAAAAGCTCAGATGGCAACAGTAGAGGCCGGTCTATCTAGCTGGGAGGGGGGAAAGATCGGATTGGATAAGGGACCCAAATCCTGGAAGATCGAGGAAATAGATTGGTTAGGGAGTGGACACATCAGAAGCCTGGGAAAGCTTGGGAAGTTGAATGGTTAGTTTGAAGAATTGCCTGGTTTTTCCCAAGCTTGAGATAATATAATCAGCCTGACAAAGGGCTCTCTCTCTCTCTCTCTCTCTCCCGCTCTCTCTCTCTCTCTCTCTCTCTCCCACACACACACACACACACACACACTAGTCCTGTTTGTTGGCGAATTCTGTGGTGATCATGTAGGTCTAGCAGTCACCTGTGCCGGCAGCTGAGCGGACCCAACACGGCCACAGGGCCAGCTGAGCCCGGACTGTGCTGGCAGGATGGGGACAGATACAAACGATGCTTTGACACGCACAGAACTTTCTCACCTTGGCCTTTGTATCGGGCTCGATGAAGACAACACTGGCCTTTTCCACAGGGGGATGGGTGGAGATGAGACCCTGGAAACTTGGGGGCAGCCTTCTATCTCCACCCAAAGTAAATCCCACCACACCACCATCTCCAGCGGGTGGGCCCCTGCGATCCCGTGAAAGGACCCACCTCCCCCCGCAAGAAGATGGCACTCTCACACATACACCGCCCTGAGGGTGATGCCTCCTTAAATTCTGTGCCCCAGGTGCCTCTCCTGCCTCCTCCTCACCCTGGCCCTGTTGGGTGTAGGTAGAGGGAGTGGGACCTTTGATGGGCCAGTGACCTGATGCACACAACTGCAGAGGGAGAAACTGAGGGGAGAAGAGAGAATTCAGTGGAATAGCCTGGAGGAGCCGGGGTGGGAGGGGTCTGAGGCTTGGGTAGGATCTGCTTTTCAGGCGAAAACACACGTTCCCAGAGAGTTGAAGGGAGGCTGCAGGAGACAGAAACAAAGCCAGAATTGTGCCTCATTGAGAGGGGTGAGCTGGAAACTCATCCGTCCCTTCACTCATTCACCAAACACGTTGCTGGCTTCCCATCTTGTGCACACGCACGCTTTAAACATTTATAAAGCATCTGGCATGTGTCATCCCTGGGAGGGTCGGAGCTCACACCGATGATGACAGCGGTCATGACACTGACAATAAAAGTAGCTATGCACCTATAACCCCCGTGGGAAAGAATTCTGGAAACAAGTACAACACAGGCTGTTCTTTCAACGAGCTCAAGAGGGGATCCCCCTGATTAGAGTCACCCCGAGCAACGGGTGCTGAAGCAGGAGGCAGCTGACCACTCCGGGCCTACCAAGGCAGCCTCCTCCAGCAGGGCGGGGGGAGCAGGAAAGGTGTGCAGGGCACAACGTTTCCCAGTGTTGGAAGAAAAAGGCTGGCTCTTCCCATCACGTCCATCCTGGCTATAGTTTCTGTTTTCACAGTCAATACAAAGATGAAGGACTCTGAGCTGTTTAGCGGATGCTCATTGAAATGAAAATGTAGACGGTCCTATTTCCTAACCGGATCTAAATGAAAAAATCTAGAAAGGAAAGAAATCCCAACATGTGAAATCTGCCCGGTTCAGGGAAACAGCTGTGATCTATTTTCATTGTCTGTATCTAAACTGCAGAGCTGCATACCAGGCGAGGACTGAGTAGCGAAAGATCTCTTACAACGAATGGAACTGACCACAGTGCAGGCTGGTGTGTAGGTTCTTGACTACCCACGATGGCCACCAGAGGGCAGCCACGAGGCTCTCAGCTACCCTCTGTTCTACTTAAGGGGGCGCTCCAGGCTGCTTCTCCAGCCTCAACTTCTTGCCTCTCTTCTTAGTCTGTGGGTGAGGTGACCCCACAGAGCCCAGGTCCCTAGAGGAGGCAAAGCCAGGTCACCCCTGCTGACTGACTGGGAGAGAAAAATTACGTGTCATAGCTCAGAGTCTTGAGACTGTGGAGGCTGCGGTGGGCAGTCCCGTGACAGTGGCACTGGGGCAGGCAGGTGTCGTGGCACCCTTCCCTTCCTCAGTGTCCGCAGGGTCAGTCCCTCGAGAACTTGGAACGTCCCATTGTCCCTCAGAGATGGGCCTTATGCCCCCGCCCACGAGTGTCCTCAGGGCCCTGCTTTAAGGACGTCTGGGCTGAAGACCACGGGTCTCTCTGAAAGCTCCACTTTCCCTTGGTTCTTTATGGGGTTCCCCCCACCCCCCAGTTTTCTTAATAATTGTTTGTTTTGAGAAATTCCAGCTCATTCTTCTCTAAACTAAGGGAAAAGGGTGTTTTCAACGGTGCAAATACCGCCGGCTGGGGAAAACTTCTAGGAGACAGCAAAGTGCCTAAAAGGCCAGGCCGTGGTGTGTGTGTGTGTGTGTGTGCCTGAGAGGCCAGGCCGTGGTCTGTGTGTGTGTGTGTGTGTGTGTGTGTGTGTGTGTGTGTGTGTGTTAGCAGAACTGTCAAACAAAATAAAAAATAGTCTGGCGGCTTTGCTAGAAATAAATGATAAAGATCTATTCAAGAGTCTTAGAATTTGCAAATGAGAACACAGGAAGGCAAAAATCCAGAAGTGTTCCAAAAAGATTAAAACATTAAGAGATTTTATAGTAGAAATTGCATTCGTGAGAATAGCCAGTCCTGCATCCTTAGCAGTAGGACAGGTCCAGGACGGGTATCAGCCAGATCAGTTGGTCCGGATGACGGATGCCAGGTGGTCTGGGTATGTGAGTCCTTCAGGAGGTAACCACAGGGTGATCCAGGCATCGATGCTGGACCAGAAAGTTCAAAAGTTTAAGTTTCTAGGTTGTCAAAACGATAATAAAATCATTTTCTCCTGCCTCAGCCTGAAGCATAGTAACCTCCATCTTGGGTAAAAACTGCTGTTTAAAATTTTAACCCTGCTATTCTGGCTT